TTCACTTCCGGATACACTACGTTGTATGAAGACACTTAAAGATTTTAAGATTGCGGTTAGATCTATTGTAAATTTACATATGTAAACCAGTCTTAGCTGTTATGTATTTATATCTTGTAATTTTTTAATTTCAATTTTCTTTCGTTTAAAGTTATTTTTCTCGGTAAATTAGCATAATCTTGCTATAGGCCTAATCAGCCTCATCAACCCGAGTTGAAATAAAGTTATCTATCTATCTATCCATCTGCGATCACAAAGTACCCAAATTATTCCTGAAAATAACTTATCAACCATAAAAACGATAATTTAAATCATATTACGGAATTATGCGGGAAGAGAAACATATTTTAGATAAAATTGCGGCCCTGTGTTCGGTTCAGTGATTTTCGATACAACAGAGACAACAGTGGCCACATGTACACCTCCTGAACCATTTATTGACTCGCTCCAGGCTCTACGCAGATACAGTCTTCGTGACTTCGGACAACTTCGACTTCGTTGCTCTTTTGCCTGTAAATATGGCTGCGATTGCTTTTGCTTTACATGTTTGTCCAGGACATCTAAGTACAGCACGTTAGTTATCAAGCCCTCTTTGGAGTTCTTAGCTCATCTAAGAATCTAAAAGGATTGTAACAAAGCTTACTCTGTAAACATTCTTCACCATTATGGGGAAAAGCCGGTTGTAGATAGCTACAACCTGCTACAACAAATAGCCCTCCACTGTGTCGTGAAATAAGATTAAGCTGCAGCTTCAGAGAAAATATGGCTAAAAGCGGCGTTGAACTGGAACTTAAAGGAGTCCTGGAAGATTCTGCAGCCGTCGGAGGTAAAAATCTTGGCTCCCCGAAGACGCATCGTCCGGATTACGAATCTTTGAAAGAAGTCAATGATAACAATGGTAAGTCCTCGAAATAAGCGTTTTGTGACTAAGAATGTCCAGTTTAAAGATCTTTAGGCCGTAGTAAATCGCTGTTACGTCTTTTGCTATCAACAGCAGTTGTTGTGTTAAGTGTTTACCTGCTTGGCAAATGAAGAACTATTATTTCCTTGTCGAAATAAGCTTAAGACGTGGCCTTTTAAGCTAAGTAATCTTGGAAGACATGTAAAATTACATGAGACATGACTGTTGAACATGTCAAGACAACAATGACCTCATTAATCTTGAACAAGAATAAAACAGCTGTTGTATTTTCTTTATTATTAATTTTGACGTGTTTATAATACTACTCAGATGTGTTGTATGTAATGTTATGGCAGAGATCAGAAAGATAACTTTTTATTCCAGCTAACGAGTACAAGCACACGTGTCTATTCTGTCTCGTCCTACTGCGCATGCTCAAAACCTGATATGTTTACATTGTATGTCTCAGAGGTATTAAATGGTCTTGCGAAAGACCCTCCCAATACATATTTGTTATGACTGAGAAAATCATGCCATTGTGATTGGACAAGAGTGGGCCAATTTATTATTTTGTAATGCAAATCAGCACATGCATGTTGATAATTTTCTAAGTCTTAAAAATTATAATGAGAAAGTGTATGAAAGCCCAAGCAATCATAAATATATATTATATTATATTATATTATTATTGAAAAAAAAACAAAACAAAAAATGAAAGGATATATATGATTCATGATATTTGGAGTTCTTTCAAATTGCACTTGCCTAAGTACTCATGCAATTTTGACAGAATTTTCAAATGTTACTCGCAGTGATCATTAATATTATACATAATTTGTATTTGCATTCACACAATAATATTACCTTTACTTAGCACTGGGCAACATTTTAACAAGAACCTTCACGGAGCTAAAACTGCTTGGTTAACATTTAACTGCATTTTTGCTTATGTTAGGGTTTAAATTTATTTT